TAATATCCAGGAAGAGGTTTGTTTCATCGTATGGTTGGAAGACACTCATGTTGTCACATTTTGTTTCATCATTTCTTTATTTATGTGTTCAGTTTTGTTTTTTTTATACCGTTTTTTAACCCTCCTCGATATCTCAGACCCGGCTACTCCCACCTCTCTGCCCATAGGTTCTCCAAAATGGAAGGCACAGCATGACAAACAACATGACAATCAATTATCCGAGGGACTAATACACCACAGACTTTTGGAAATGGCTGGGGCACGTCCGTGACTTTTGTTTTTTGTGGGCACCGCCATTTTGTTTTGCGTCACCACTTTTATTAACAGAGCAGCGTCACTCCAAGGAGCTCATTTACATTATTCTATATTTTGTATATTCAAATATTTCTTTTTTTTAATTTGACATTATATTTCTATCTTACTGTATATATGTGTGTGTACGTATATTAGTAATTTGAGTGTATTGCATGGCGGAACAGTCTTTACATTTCACTGCACATCTGTATGAGCATGTGACAAACACAAATCTTGAATCTTGAATCATGGGCCAAAGAGTGACTCGTTCCAGTGCGTGGTGGTGCGAGTGGAAAAGGTAATCAATAAGAATTTAGGTGGATAGACACAACCTGTTCATTTCCAGTACACACACCTGTTCCCTATTTCCCCATTTAACCAGTTCACTTCCACTTCCCTGTGCCAGATTGTCTCAGTGTGTTTACCCTAGCTTTCCTGTTTTTCTAAGTTTATTGATCTTTTGACCTTAGCCTGGATATCAGATTCACCCTCAGCCTTACCCCTTTAACGGTTTGCCTTCCTGGATTTGTATCCTTGTATTTTCTTTGTAGGTACAGACTGTTGTTTTTTAACCGAGTTGTGATATTGTGTTTATTTCACCTTTGACCTGTGACACATGTTCATGACTTGTTTTCTGTAAAACAGAAGTCACCACTAGCAGCCTAAATCCTTTCATGAATCAGTGAAGGTTACTGATTCAGAGCGATGAAGAAGAACTGATTTCTAGTAAAAAGAAGTTTTCTTCAAGGCCTGTCAATCATCATATCTGCTCACTGCTTAGGCTTGAAGCATGATGGGTAAATACAGGTATAAACTCATTCCTTCAGCAGTCAGTTTTTTTATACAACATCATTTGATTCAGTCAAATATCTGAGCTGCTAACAAAACCAAACAATTATTACTTCTCTAGTCCCATGGGCTCGATCCTGCTCGAGGTTTTTCCCTCTCCTTCACCCTTCAATATACAAAGTAATAAAATAGAGACAATGCTAGAGGCAGACTCAGCGTGCTGTAGCTGCTCGGACAAAAACTCTGAATATTGTAACAAATTCCCTGCATTCAAAATCTAGAAAACACTCATCTCCCAAATCATCCTCTCTCTCTCCATATCTCTCTGTATGTGGGAGACTGAGAGAGAAAATGGAGAGTGAAACCTGATTTCTCAGGTTGAGAGTTGGTGTAGGAGTGTGCATGTGAGTTTGTGTGCATCATTTTTTTTATTTTTTTTGGGAGAGTGTGACAAATTGGGGCCCCTCGGCTCTGTGACAGAGGGAACCAGAACCGTCCGGTCTGCATTATTCATGAGGTGCGAGTATGTCGGGATGTGATGTGGTGGCGTCTTCATGCTTAACAAAGCTGCAGACAGAAAGTCAAACTGTGAGCTCATGCATCTCCTCCTCCATCTGAACCCACACACACACATTTTTTTAAAAACGGGCGTATGGCACCGACAAATTGAGAAGTTGTTTATTTTGAGAAGAGAGTGGGTTTAGTTTGCTCACTTCTTTTTTTTATAATCAAAAAACACAAAAACATAACCTCCTTTTAGAGTGATGGCCGCCATTTAAACTCGCTTTAATGAACATGTGCTCAGAAACTGCACACTGCACTCTACTTTACAGTGCACATCATTGAGATAGTCCTCCATCAGATTTTGTAATATTTGTTGGAAAACAGCGCCCTCGTGTGGTAGAAGACAACAGATTTAAATATTTTTTCCAAACTCCAGATTCTCCATCATCCAAGGGGCATAGAGTTTTTAAATCTTAAAATAATGATAACAAAATGTACAGCACCTGGAGCTCCTGGAGCACCTGGAGCTCCTGGAGCGTCACGGTCAGTGCTCACACCCCGTGTGCAGAGGCGACAAGCGGATCTGACCTGTGGCTCATGTCCCACATAGAGGCAGCTGTGGCTCAGTTGGTAGAGTCAGTTGTCTCTCAACAGGAAGGTCAGGGGTTTGATCCCCAGCTCCTGCAACATGTCCGATTTGTCCTTGGGCAAAACACTCAACCCCAAGTTGCTCCTGTTGCTTCGTCTGCAGCATGAATGTTTATGAATGGATTTTGGTCACTTCACACAGCAGCCTCTCCCATCAGTGTGTGAGTGTGTGAGTGTGTGGGTGTGACCTGCAGTGTAAAAGCACTTTGAGTAGTCAGAAGACTAGAAAAGAAATATACAAGCTTAAGTCCATTTCTCATTTACCATGTCGTTCCCCCTCTCTCTCTCTCTCTCTCTCTCTCTCTCTCCCTGATTTCCGACTATATCCACTTCCTGTCTCTACAATAAAGCTCCAAAAATACAGTGTGCACTTGTGTAATACAAGTGTTCCTGTCATAAAGCCAGAAGCAGTTTTGACATTCAAAGTTACGGCTTTAATCTGAAGCTTTAAATGGAAAACGTTTCATGCTTATTTCTGCTTCCTCTCATTTGTTAGAAAAACACATAAGTAAATCTCCGTAAAGACAGGAAATGCAGGAGAAACAACAATAACGGCATGTATCCCCCAAACCCCCCCCCCCCGCCTCAGGTCATATCTCCGTCGGCATGTGGCGCTCAGCGAGCGGGAGGAACGTTATGAAACGAGAGAGCTAATATAAGAAAGAAATGAAATAAGTTAGAGAGGAGAGAAATAAATGAGAGCTGGGACTTAAACTGCTCTCTCAGCTCTGGATAACAAATCAACACACAATAAGTAAATGAAAGCGAGGGCAGACTTCAATATCTCGTTTTTTTTTTGGTTTTTTTTATTAAGTCTGACACGTCGCGGTCAGATGGAGACGTACGAGAGTCACACTTTTGAAGCCGCTTCCATGATTTGTGCAAACACTCGACGTCCTCTGGAGGAAATCCTCTGAAGGGAAAGAAAGACGTTGAAATGAAGAAGTGGATTTAAACCTGTGTTGATTCTTTATGCAGTATTTATTGATTCCCAGCTTCATATAAACTGGATGTTGAGGCATAAACATAGTACATTTGAACAAAAATATAACCAATATTTACAATTATTGTATTAAAAATACAAAAACAACTGATACATACTCCACCGATTGTCTTTTTAAAAGACATACAGGCCAAAGCAGTACGAGAAAGAATGAAGAAAAAGAAGGTCATCACCAGCTAAATGTACATTTCTCACTGACATCACACATCAAACAGGGTAGCAGTTCTACCTACTACACACCGATCTTTACGCTTGTACATTTTTGTGCAACTTTTGTGTTTTTCTCGAAATAGGACTCGTCCGGCTAATATGCACATGATCTTCAGAGTTTGAATGAAAAAGTGAATGCTGCATGTCACCACTGTATCACAAACAAATTATTATTAACAATCTATCTGCAGCCATTACAAAACAAAAAAAAATTACAATAACAAAAAAAACAAAAAAAAAGGAACCCATGAACTCATGAAGTGTGTAGTCACAGAACACAGTGGGGAAAACACACACACACTGCACTCATCCATGTGTTTCTCAGTCTGTAGTTTCTGAGACTGATCAATGTGATCAGCGCGACTCAGCGATAGAAAGAAAACAACACGTGTCGAGTCACTGATGGAGTTTTCAATTGTTCTGATTGGCAGCCTTGAAAAAAAACAAACAAAAAAAAAGGTTTCTTCATACGTCAACGTCCCACCGGAGTCAAAGGAATAATAAAAATCTTCAGTCACTTCCGTTGATGGAGAGAGGTGACGGTAAAGTGGACGCAGGCGTCCAGTGTAACAGGCGAGGAGGAGGAGGAGGAGGAGGAGTCTGCGAGCACAGGAGCAGGGAGGAGACGCGTCCGAGAAAACAAAACGCCTGCCTTCATCTTGTACTGAGTCTTTAATATACATCGTTTTTAAAAAAGTCGGGGGGGGGGGGGGGGGGGGGGGGGGAGTATCTTGAATAAGGCATTTCACTCCGCTCTCGTTTGATTTCCTAACTGCTCTTCAAAAAAGGTGATTAGTGACGGGGACGACCATGTGAAGAAATGGACGCACTCATGGCATCGTAAGGCGCTTTTTTTTTTAACATTCACTAAAAAATGTGGAGTTATGTTCAGGTCGGGGGGGGGGGGGGGGGGGGGGGAATGCCAAATTTGTGAGTATTATTATAAGACTCTGTACAAGATCAACTGAAAAGGTCGGTATAATCAGAGGTACAGTCGAGGGTCACACGTCGACGGATTCTTTGCCACCCGTTCTTAAAAAATAAAAAAACACACAAGAGGTAACTCATCTGACTGAAGATACACATTCACCTCCAGCAGGTGTGGCTGAGCATGTTTATTAGCATCATGGTAAGAAAGTATTTTAATAACTCTTTATTCTGCAGGACTGAGATCTGCAGCTGCTCGGTTATCAACTTGAGCTGTTTTCACACGTACACTAAACTCTTCAAATTTCAGGAGTCGGCAGCATGTGTGAATGCAAACGGACGCAGTATTAATGCCGATTTTCTCCTCATGTAGTCTGGGAGAGATAATGAGCAGAAAATCTTGCACGTAATGAAGCGGCTTCACACTCCTTTCTGTCACCAGAAGGTTCTGTTTTGATTCTCTGATATGTCCATTTGCACATCGCTTTGATAGAAAGGCATAAAATAACAGCGTTACTATGGTGTCGGATGCTGTAGCTCCGCCCATTTCCAACATGTCTTGCCTCCTGAGACCGAACGGGGCGAGTCTCAGCAGAGAACTCGTGCTGTTAGGTGTTCATGTTTCATGAGTGCATGTGTGAAAACAGCTTCAGACTGCTCCTTTAATATCCACCTCTTTGATGCTAATTCATACTAAATAGGAAGTTCATGATCCAGATCTGATTTGTATCCTTTCATGGAAACCTTGAAAGGCAACTCACAGAGCCACACACAGCAGGATCCTGGTGAGTATAGATCTGTATCTGTGTGTGTGTGTGTGTGTGTGTGTGTTAGCTGGTTACTGAAGGAAAAGGTCTCAGTTCATGACCTAGTGGCTATCACATAGCGTCAGGAGTTAAAAAGGCATTAAGTGCTTCATAGTGGAGAACAAAAAGCCTGTTGTGTTGCTAATAAGCATGCTCAGAAGTATCCCATCAATGTACCTTCGTTTAAATTGTTACCGACTTTAAATTTAGGTATAAAAAAGGACGACCCTCCGTGATTACACCTCCTCTCCTGCACCGGCTCCTCTTGATTTCTTCAGCTTTAGTAACCTTGTGAATCTCTGGAGACCAACATGATGGAGTCAGGCATGTGTTGCTCAGTTTTCAGTGGGTGGTCCATCACCTGTGTGCTTTTTTTAATCGATATCCCCTTTAAGCCCAGTTACAAAAAACAGCAAGCAAACAGGATAGACTCTTGATTCCAAGCAGACGAGCTCCGAGGTGGACCGACAGTCAGATATGGATCAATCATACCCTGGGATCCAGGCCAAAATGTCTGCTCACATTTACGATTGTGCTGAAAGTGCTTTTCTTTGAAATAAATTGTGTTTTTTTCTGAATGTTCTTGTACATAAAATGTACTCTGTGTGTGTGTGTGTGTGTGTGTGTGTGTGTGTGTGTGTGTGTGTAGGTGTGTCAGTTTGGATTTGAACCAACACTTGATAATCTTTCACATGTGACACATGAGATAATACTGAAGAGTTCAAACACTCAAAGCCAACAGGCGGGGGTTGTTTCAGTCCAGGCAGAGGAAATGGGCTGACTTGGGGCTGACTCTCGTTTTCTCGGCCCCCAGAGTGCAATCAGTCAAAGAATAAACAAAAACAAACAAACAAAAAAAGGAGTGGGGAACATTTAGAGTCAAAGTCGACCGTTTTTTTCTCCCTCCATCTTCAAAACAAACGTCTGTTTTTTTTTAATCTGTTTTAGAAAGTAGAAAATGAAAAAGTGCAGATGAAGGTCAACACGTCAGGATGCTGTTGTGTTAACACGAGGGGGGGGGGGGGTTGTTGTCACTGGATGGAGGTCGGAGGTTAAAGAAACCGCTCCTAACAGCGATGTGGTTTTATGAGCATGAGGCGGCTCGACCCCCCCCCCCCCCCCTCCCGGCACCACTTAGGTTTCTGTCTTTTTATCCAAAGTGCCAGGCGGTTTTTTTTTTTCCCATCGTCTTTGACCTTCTCTCCATCTCTTCTTCACAGTATTTTTTTTTTTTTTGCATGCAGGGTCTTTCAACCCCCTTATGATGCTTTAAGGCAGGGGAGGGAGACGAGCAGAGGAGTCCCACCAATCAGGAGGGAGAGCCGAGTGGAGGAGGCAGGCACGTATGTAACTGATGATGAGTCCACATTGGTCCGTCTTGTCTCTTTGATCCTGCCCGCCCCCCAAAAAAACCGAAGGACTTCAAGTTACTGCAAAAAAAAGGACGTCGTCGTCGTCGTCGTCGTCCCCCCGCCGACCCTCAGACCGCTGACACCTGTTCGTCCTCTGCGGGAAGAAAGAGAGAAAAACAGACGTTACTATGAAGGTGGACGTGTTTTAACTTCTACTCTAAGAAGTGAAATGAAAAGGTGAAAAAGAGCGTCAGTGTTTAGCTGCTCTCAAACCATGAATCACGCTCACTTTACTCGCCAAACATTTTCTCTGAGCTCGCCATCGTTTGTCACATTGATTTCCCGCCTTCGGGTTCATGTCAGTACGAGATGAAAAATCAACTCGCGGCGACTCGACAATGACAGTGACGAATGCACGTCTTGTCAGTTTTATTATTTCTTGTATTCTGTTATTGACGAGTTGTGAGCAGAGGCTCGCCCTCGGACGTCTGATGGAAAGATTTACACTCTGGATGTTTACTTTCAGGTTCAAGGTGCAGCGTCACTGTCCACGCTAAAGATAACTCCTGCATCTATTCTTTGCAGATAATTAACAGAGTTTTGAGTTGATTTGGCAATTTATCATTTTTATTTTTGTGGATGGTGATTCAGCCTTCAGTCATTCAATAATAACGAGTAAAAGGTAGAAAGGGGGGGGGGGCGAGGAGAGAGGGCATGACGGGCTGAAAAGGACCCGAGCTAGTGTCATGGTGACTCAGGGAAATCTGTTAAGAGCACTTCATGATGATATATTTTCATAATTATACTTTAAATCACTTCCGTATCACTTTTTGTCCGATGTGTAGAGTATTTTATTTTGAAATTCTGAATGAACAAAGGCCTAAACATGAGTCTAACATTGCAGAGAGTGAGTTTGTTAAGTGAATTAAGATGGCTGAACGGTAACAAGAAGCTGGTTAAAGTCAACGGTGGCACAATGAGTAGAAAAGCAGGGCTCGTGTTTCAGCACCAGTAAAGATTATGGAGCCGCCCAGTAAAGGTTATGGAGCCGCCCAGTAAAGGTTATGGAGCAATAGATGCAAACAAAGGATTTTAAGGGTCAGACTCGACTATGTAACGGCCTCATTTTAAATGTAAGAAACATCCAAACTTCAAGTAACATTATCAACAAATGTCTGAGTATTTGTCTTTAAACTTTTACAAGAAACTTTGAAAGAATGTCCCCAGTTATAGTTTAATCCTTGCAAGTATATTTAAAGTCTGCTCTGATTTGATTTTCATCTGCAGACATGAACGGAGACCAGCAGGTAGAGAAATATTCTGAAATGTTTAGAAATCTGTGGCTCTTTGTTTTTTTAAGTCTCATCCGTCTTCTATGTTATTTTAGTGATTACACTGCGTTATGTTCTAAAATCAAAGACCTGGAAGCAGATTCTATAGGATGTCGATGTTTTAGCTCGGCTGTTTGAACGACTGACTCCCAGATATGACTCATAGATGGTTTCTGTTTTAATCCAAAATGTTGTGCTTTGTAAATTGTACTTTGTCTCTCTTTGTATTTCCGTCTGTAACTTTGTGTTTTTGCTGCTGCCTGTCTCGGCCAGGACTCCCTTGAAAAAGAGGTTTTTAATCTCAATGGGACAAACCTGGTTAAATAAAGGTAAAGTCCTAATGCATCAACAGAGAACAGTAACATTCTTTCTAACCTTCTTTACCACCTTTTGGTTTGAATATCACACTCGTCAGAATTTGAAAAAACCTTTGCAAACACTCGACATCTACATGTATGAAAAGTGCTGCTGCAATAACACACATTTCATCCAGAGTGACTGCAGGCGGGGCCGTGTGCGTGCTGGTGCAGGAGGATGGAGGTGCATGTTTTTTTTTTTCAGGCACTGATTGCATGAGTGGGGGGGGGGGGGGGGGTCCTACTAACGGGCACTGTGCCTGCTGATGGATGCTGCTCAGCACAGTGCCACACAGTGAGAGAAGAAGAAGAGCAGAGTGTGTGGTGGTGGTGGTGGTGGCAGAGAGAAGTGAGTTTCTGGTCCGACCAGTATGACTCATGCATGATGACATATTGTGGGGTTAAAAAGGTGAGAGGGTCCCACTCCAAATCAACAATTCCCACATCATAAATACTGAATGTGTGAGTTTCTAGTTTTCTGATTGGGGGAGCGCTGATGGAGAATTGTGGTTTGGGAGTGGGACCGGTCCTCCTGGTGGTGCTGTGTGAGGAGATGGTGGGGTCTCAGTCCAGGTGTGTGTGTTCCTGTTCACATGCAGGTTCATTGGAGGGGGCAACCTGATAAATTAGTTTTTTTTACCTGCCTTTGGGGAGAGAGGGGGCCCTGCCTGTTAACCCCCCGTACACACACTCTCATGGTCTGGGAGTCTCGGGTGTGTGCTGTGCGCCTCGCTTTGGCTTCCTCAGAGCGATTAGTTTGGGAGACAAGGACTCACCCTCCTCTTCCTCCTCAGCATCTTCGTCGTCGGCCGGTGAGCGCGTGCGATGGAGGCCGCCCCCGCGCTGTTTGGCCGCCTGGTGGGCCTGGTGGGAGTCGGGCGACTGGGTGACCATGCGCGAGCGCTGCAGGGCCGTGGTGTAGTCCGGCGGCCGGCGGCCCGTGTGGGTCGTCGTCGACGTGGGGACGGGCGTGGTCGGGTGCTGCCCCTCGGCGAGGTCAGAGATGGTCAGGGCGGTGTAGCCGGGGGGAGTCGGGGGGGGCTCGCGGTAACGACTTTCTTTCCGTGCTACAAGAACACAAAAGACAAAGAAGATGAAGAAGATGAAGGGACCTGGAAACATTCTGGAATGATATCTGTTCCCCTGTTTGATAGAAAAGGAAAAGAAATTAGCAGAAATCAGAGATTAATGAAACATCAGGACCCACAGGACGCACCAGAGGAACAGTGTCTACACCTCTGCTGCATAAACTGTGTAGAGTTAGACTAAACATCAATCCCACCTTCATGTTTGTACAATCTGAGGTCTGTTAGTGGAGTTAGGCATCATGAAAAAAAAGTTAGCCTAGCCCGTGCCCCTCAGGAAACCAAGTCCACCATCAGCACCTCTAAGGCTCGACTCAGACTGCAGGAGTTAAAAAAAACTTTGAACATGTTCTGTTATTTGATGTCAAACTGGAATCAACACTAAAGACTTGAAAATATTGGGTCTTTTGTAGCTTCAGGATGTTTGTAAGATGACTGTGAACCAGAGGAAACATCTCAAAGGGAGGGAGATGTAAACACAGAGGAACAGTAGGAGGAGTACGATCATGAATGAAGTGATGTCAGAGATAAGTGTTACACTGACACTGAGTATTGAATGTCTGGAAGTCTGTAGATCAACTTGAATTTATTACTTGTACCCTAAAGTCCCCAGATCCACAATCTGCCTACATTTGCGTTTTCTCTATGTGACCTCTGGAGACTAGACGCTGCTCAAACAAAAGCTGAATGTCCACAACTCCTGATGGGAACATTTTAGGAGGCCAGATCAACTTGGACAAATGTAATCTACAGCCAGAACCTGAGGTCTTAAAACTTTAGCTAGCTAACATTAGCCTATGATGTTAACCCTTTCTTCAAAACACTGTCAGCACCTCCTTTCAGACCTCTCTCTTATTTGTATCTTCTATATTTACCATGTTTGATATTTTCAGGACAAGTTAAGGAGTCTGCGATCAGTTCAGCTATGAGGAAATAAGATCTTTAAACCCTCTGTAACCCCAGATGATCGTCTGAGTAAATGTCTAAAGAGGTTTTGTGGTCGATGAAAAACTCCTGTAGTCTGAGTCTGGGTTAAAATATCTCTCAAGTGTGATTTATACAAAACCTGGAGTGTGAAAGTGACAAGCTGTCGTTTCTGCCTGTGATACAAATTAAAAATAAACTGAATATGTTTCCTGTTAAATAAATAATCCATCAGTGACTGCGAGCTGCGGTAAACTCACAAAGGAGTCCTTTACCCCCAGCGGTGATGGGCGACGGAGACGGCCGTCCGAGCAGCTTGGCCTCCTCCGACCCGGTGGAGGTGATGCTACTGGTTTCTGGGTCTGCGTTCACGTCCTTCCCTCCTCTCCTCTTGATGGTGCCCGTGTCTCCTTCAGAGTCCTCCCCCCAGTACGCGGCTGAGGACGAGGAGGAGCTGGCAGACGCCCAGCTCCCCCTGGCCTGAGCCGCCCACAGAGCGGCAGGCCCCCCTAATAAGGCCTCTGGACCCCCGTGAGGGAGGCCCCCGATGCCACCTCCGCCGCCGCCTCCTCCTCCTCCTCCTCCACCGAAGGCCAGAGTCTCCCAGCTGCGTCCCTGCTGCATCGTCTGGATGTTGTCATGGGAACCGGAGGAGCAGGAAGTCCAGGAGCCGCGGCCGCTGTCTGCGGCGTCGAGGGAAACTCGATCGCCCTGATCCTGAGTCAGCTCCTCTGAGCTGGGTGAGGAGAGCACCGTCGGGCAGCCGGTGTAGATCCCTCGACAGTCCTGCATCGATGAATACGACCTGTGATGTGATCGATAGTTTAAAAGTCGGAATTTCAAATTACTAAACACATTTAGAAATATGGTGAGAATTCAGTGAGCTTCAAAACTCCAGTACAGCAACTTCTTGTGTATCTACTGCCATCTTGAGGTACATGTATGTTCCTACAAAAAAAAGTTAAAACAAGAAACTAGCACACAACTGGATCATGTTTTGAATTAATAAACTAAAGGGACCAGCCTTGCCCAAGAGGCATTCATTTCATTTATCTTATTTTTAGGAGTTCCTACCCGAGGCTGTACTGGTCGGGGTCAGTGGTGGCTCTTCGTTCCAGCCGCGCCCCCACGATGTGCGACTCCCCGACTCCTCCGGAGTGACGGAGTCTCCGCTCCTCCTGGGCCATGTCGAAAGAGGAGTTACTGACGAGGCTGGAGCGAGAGGAGATCTCACTGTGACCGGAGTCTGAGTACGCGTCTCCCATCCTGTTGTAACCTGACAGACGAAGACAAAGGGAATGATTTGAAGCCTTTAGAAGTGCAATAACAAAATCTTAAGATGAGCATGAGCACTTTCTTGTTCTAGATTAAAACTTACATTTAAAACCTTCATGTGATAGGGAAACGTACGAGCATGTTCACGATAACAAAAGGATGATTAAGCCCCGTCACTGCCTCCTACATGTCAAACTTCCAAACATAGAAATAACGTATGATGGGTCATTTTTTTTTATTCCTCAACATAAATCGTCTCTATTTCCATATCTCTCTCGTCTGGGTCAGTCTTCTTAAACGAGGCGTCACACTCAGACTGCAGGGGTAATTGCAGAGTGTGTTTCCAACTTGGCCAACCGGCTCTTTAGGGACGGATGCACCAGATTCTGTCTGAGTCAGCAGTTTAACACGAGTGCTGAACAGTATGGAAAAGTAAGATAACAAGCGTGAGGGGACTGGGAATAGTAAAGAGAAATCACTGCTGACACGTGTAAGTACATGTTTCCTAGTTAGAGGCGACTCGTTGAGGCAGATCAGCTGTAGAGCCGACTCGCCTGCAGGTCGTATCTCACTGCTGCTCTCAGCAACTTTTCTCTCCATGAGCTCTTTAATGCCTCAGTCTGAAGAACTAAATACTACGGTGCGCCTAAAGGGACAAAATAGCATGCGATTATATAAATTCATGCATGCATTCATTTTTTTTTATTTGTAACATTTATTTTTGGGCTTTTTCTGCCTTTATTGTAGAGATAGGACAGTGGATAGAGTCAGAAATCAGGGAGAGAGAGAGAGAGTGGGGAATGGCATGCAGGGAAGGAGCCACAGGCTGGATTCAAACCCGGGTCGTCCGCTTGGAGGACCACAGCCTCCATACATGGGGAGGTGAAGCTCGGTCATCAACCACTGTGCCACTGCGCCACCTGCGCCCCAATTCATGCATTTATATCAGACCTAAATTAATCACACTAACAGCTCTAATCTATCACTATGAGGACCAGACTCCAGACTTGTTAGTGCCGTTCTCTTAAGACAAAATCAAATGCTGCTCACAGGAACCAGTACGAGTTATAAGCCAAAGGTCAATTTGGAAAAGGCAAAGATGTCAGAGTAAAAATAAAATAGTTAAAGATTGAAGCTGGATGAGAGTTTAGAGCAGCCTCAGAACCACCGTATAAATATTTTCTAAAAACTCTTCATTAGTCCACGTAGTGCTCACAAAAATCCAAAACATCCTTTGAGAAACATTCTCTGTCTTTCATCTGCTTTGTATCAAAGCTAATGGTTCACTTCCTAATCAGTAACAACTGGAAGGAAACACGACGATGTTTGTAATATAAAGTAAACATTCTTATGTTGGGCCAAATACTCAACAACAAATCCAAAACATAGTGCAATGCCTGCATTCAGCCACCAGGAGGCATTTGAGGACCATGTAATGACAGCGGGAAGGAGCCTGGAGACTGGTGTGGGAGGAGGGGGGGGGGGCATTATTGGCTTACCCTTCTTGGGTGAGCTCTGTGGGGAGGTGGGAGGGGAGGAGAGCTGGGAGGAGGCGTTGGACACGGTGTCCTCTGGCTGCCTGCGGTGCCTCTCGTTCCCCTCCTCCGACAGAGAGAGGATCTTCTTCAGAGACTGTGGCGAGCTGGTGCCTGTGGACCCCAACAAGATGAGCAGAATTAACATGAGCAACACGGCTGTTCCCTCCGGGGGACAAGGCTAAACTGCAGACATCCCAGACAATGCTAAACTGCATTGTCTGGGATTTTTTTTTGTTTTTTGGTCATTTGCTTGTTTGTCAGACGGCCTCTGGGTGGCAGCACTGTCATGAAAAAAAAAAAAAAAAAATGGGAAAGGCTGGCTGTGCTATTGTCTGCAAATAACAGGATGGGGGGATTAAACACAACAGACAAGAGAACAGTCCAGAGGCTTATTTCCACTTAATCCACAACGACGCTGGTATGCACATTTGTTAAAACAACAATAAACAAAAAAGTGTTCTTCCAGGGAGAAGTGTAACCACGATTATCAGGTAGTAGTAGCTTTGCAAAACAATAGTGTTAGCTAAATGTATGTGCTATGTTGCTATCAATACCAATCAGTGGACTAGTTCCTCCTCCGAACTCTACTGTTCAGTTGCTGATTGTTTAACTTAAATGTTTCCACCAGTTGTTCTGTTTGTTTTCTCTGTTTTGGTTTTCTCTATTTATTTCTACTTATTTGATTTTCTCTCTCTCTTATTTATTGTTTTGATGTGTATGTATGTCTGTGTATTCATTTCTAAAGATGTTGCTGCTTCTTTTCTTGGGGCTAGTTTCTTTTTTGATTCATTCAACATCTTAAGTTGAAAAGATGTTTGTTGAAATGAAATAACCAGATGAATGAAAATAAAAACAAATAAATGCTTCCACCTGATCTACTTATTAGAATCGTACATGTCTCAGTACAAATCCTCCTCCATAGCAAAGGAAAAGGTCGCACAAACAACTGTTCAAAGTAACAAAACTGATCATTAAATCAAATGTCTTTGGGTACATACAGCGTCTGGTAGACAGTTTGTAATACAGGTAAGAAAACTGATCCTTTTCAAATGCATACAGATGAATATTTATCTCACCGAAAGGCGGCAGATCCTTGACTGGCACTTTCTTTCGGGATGGGTAAAGGGCGACTGCAGGGACCTGGAGGGCCTGGCTTCCTTTGGCTAGCTGCCCCTCTGCTGGCTGGCAGCTCTGGACACGACCGGCGAGGTGTCTGGTCGTTTCCCACCGGCATTCTTGGGCACTGAGAACGGGGGAGAAGCGCGAGCAAATGTACATTACAGACAAGATTTAAAGTCTTAAACAGAAATGTATGAGTCAAAAGAAGCATGAGGAACGGAGGATGGAGCTGTTTCAGAATCAAAATGGTGCTTTTGCAAGCGTGGGAGCGTCCATCTGACCGCTTGTGCTTCTCCTTCTGTTTATCAATGCATTAGCAGCAAGTGGAGTTGGCATTAACATTGGGAAACTGGCCTGAGGGGTTCAGATTTTTGTATTCTGTGCCAATAAGTCCTTCAGCAAGTCTTGCGAGTTCTGAGTTCCCATCCCTGTTTGTGTTTTCTATAAATCCTGGGAACAAAGTGAAGAGCATTCCTAAATGTCCTTTTGTATCTTTGGTGCATTTGTGCGGCAAACTCACATGTGCTGATGGAGGGCTCACACTGCATCGACAGCGTCTGCAGACTCTCCTCGTTGGTCTCCAGGCTGAGGTTGGACAGATACTGTTTGACCTTCCTGGCCATCTGGGCGTCCTCGTAGAGCTTTTTGGCGTTCAGGAAGGAGCTGCGTCGCACCCGCTTCTTGTGCCCGCCCGTCTGGTTGACGTCGAGCACTGCCGCGTTGGCACTGCCCTGACTCAGGGACCTGGTCGCACATGGAGCCAGCCACACAGATAAGATGTTTCAGGAGGGGGGGATGAAGACAGAGACACAGAAACACAAACAGAGATTAGAGGAAGGTAAAGTAGCACATCATTTATCTTCACTGTGCATCTAACATGATAGTGCTAGCATGGTGTGCAGACTTTAACATGCAGAGAGCAGTTCAAAGTATTTCTCTCAACTCCAAAACATTCCAGTCATTCCAGGCAGGAGGGGGGGGGGGTGAGGAATGATGACTGTAGTAAAAACAACAGAGGAGTAGAGAAAGGGGGCGGAGTCCTGCGAGGTGAAGCTCGGTCATAGTTTACATTTCTGTGGCGTGAGTCAGAGCTGATAGAAGTGGTAGTAAGAGCTCGCTCTCAGTCAAACTGAACAGAAAACAAAAGGATTAAGTGTGAGTCAACAGGAAGTCATGTTCGCTCCGCTCGATGGAATGCTTCCTTTTTTTAAAAAGGTGTTTCCACTGAATTCATAGAATTATGTCTTTAAGACATTTACGAGGCTCTGCACTTTGGAACAAGCTCCCCACAGATCAGACAAACCAATCGTGTGCATTCATCTTGACTCATACTTGTTTTAGTATCCTTTCTGTGTATGTGTGTGTGTGTGTGTGTGTGTGTGTGTGTGTGGGTACATATGGTGGTGTAATCTTTGTGGGTGTGGAGGGAGGCTTCTGAGGGTGATAGGTTATGGACTTTGGCGATGATGTAATCTGGTTTTATTAGCTCTTAATCATTTCTTCTTTTGAGTCATTGTGATTCTGTATTGTTTGAGTGTCTACCTGCACAGGCTCTGCAGATGGACTCTATCAGCTAAATGTATCTCCTGTCATTAATCCAGATTCAAGCTGTACAACTAAATCTAAACAGAACATTCCTGTGATGCACGTTTGAGTTTAAGGACATGAATCATAATAACTGCACTCACACCTTGTAACTGTGACTGTAACACCTCGTGATTCAACGCTCCGCAGGTCTTATACTGTCATGAAGTTCATCTCATGATGACATAACTACCTGAGCACTGACTTTTCCTTCTTTCTCTTATTTATTTTTTTTTAATCCAGTCCACGTGTTTGTCATAAAATATTCCAGTAAATCCTGTATGCACGTACGGTCGATGTCCCATTTGACCACAAGAATGTAAAGCATGAGAAATAAAAGTCTATGTTTTCAGAATCTGGCTCTTTGGAGGTTTAGATATCCAGATAAAAACCTCAAAGTCAGGTACAATTCTGAAACTAAAGCTGCATGCATGCTGTTATTAAAAAAAAAAAACATGATTTAAAAAAAAAGGTCACATTTGCTAACATGAGACTGGAATCCAACATCAAACACTTGATTTGGTGTCTGTTCTGTATGGTTTCAATCAGCTGTTTGGATTTTAAAAAATGTAAAATATTCCAGTGTGAGCTAATGTTAGCTATAAGTGACCTTTGTTTCATTTGATGCTCTTCGGTTAGGGTGAGGCAGGGTTAGTGGGAGGAGTCAAATCAAACGAGTTAGTTGGAAATAAAGGCTTTCAGAAAAGAAGCACACAATATTGGCAGAATACAAAAAAAAGGGGGGGCCAGGAGGTGCAGGGGGGGGGTGCACAGGGTCACCAAACTTACCCTAAACTTCTCCATTTCTTCTTCCTAGCGGTTTGGGTGCCATGAAAAGAGAAGCATGGAGGGGCAAAGGGCGGACGATTAAAGAGAAAAGAGAGAGAGAAGGACACAAAGCTTAGGACAGGAGAGACCACCAAGATCACAACGAGAGAATTTCACCAAAGACCCACATGAGAAGTCAAACAGGAGAGGAAATCAAATGGTAACACCGCTTAGAAGTGACGTCATTAGACAAAGACTTTTACAGAAGCACTGTGCACATCTTAGGGCCAACAATGTGTGTGTGTGGGGGGGGGGGGACAGCTGCCAGAGGGAACAGCTGCTAGAGGGAACAGCTGCTTGACAGAGAAGAAAGCGTGGTGCAAAAAATCTTTACTGCATCTACATGAACTGTGTGACCTCCAGGGCTCGGTTAGTCAGAGGAGAGCTGACTGAGCTACAGAGAGTCCTGATTATTCATCTGAAAAACCTCGTCTTTGAGAGGGGTCTTACCTCGTCCTGAACATGAGAGCCGGGTCCATGTTGACGGAGGCCATGCGGCCAACATGGCGGATTTCTTTGGCGATCATCCTTAGCTTCTCGAAGTTCACCAGGCCGTCCACTTTGGAGTCATTGCCTGAAAGAAATGGGAAGAAAGAACGTGAATATGGTATGTCACATCTAACACAGCTGAGGGAACAAATACAATCAGGAAGAATTCAGAGTCACTAACAGCACTGCCCTGCAGAGCCACAACTACACATGCAGTTGAGGACCATAATAAATAACATCGCTTTACCTTCGTTATATTGCAATGTGCACGCTCAAGCTCTCTGGTCAGGTAGCTTTAACGCTAGTGAGAATACATTTTCAAAGCTCCAAATTTTTGAAACAAACAATAGAAGAGTTTTAATCCAAAAAGGTGAAATGTTTTTGTTTTTAATTCATCACGTGGCTTTCTAAACCATGAGCTCTTCCTCCTAGCTCTACATCACGTGAGCACGTCACAGCAGCTGTTTGTGTTGGTCGGGAGAACAAATGAATTTGGCGTCGTGTTACCTTCATGCAGGAAGGTGAGGTCCTTCTTGATGACGGGGAACAGGGGGATGATTGGAGGCTGGAGGTTCTGATTGTTGAGGACATTCCTGTACTTGGCCATATTTCTCGAGGGGTCGAAGAGGTCCTGCAGGTCTGAGAACAACTTCTCGTATTTGCTGGGAAGCTTCTCCCAGGTCCCCCGGAGTCTGGAGACCGGAGCCAGGTTCAGACCGCTGTGAGAGAGAGAGAGAGAGAGAGAGAGAGAGAGAGAGAGAGAGAGAGAGAGAGAGAGACAGAGAGAGACAGAGAGACAGAGAGAGACAGAGAGAGAGAGAGACTTCTCATGAGCACCAGAAATGTCCCAAAATCTATGATTACTCTTGTTCAAAATCAGAATTCAAAAAACAACAGAAGATTCATCGTTCCTCACCTGATGATGGCGAACATGGAGTTGAAGTTCTTGCACTCCCGGCAGTGCAGGGCGATCTTGATGAAGTGCTTGACGGTCTTCATCCTCTTCAGCTGGTTGGGCTCCCGCGTCACCTCCGACGCCACCCAGAAGGTCTCGTGATTGATGGCCTCCTCAAAGCGCTTCAGGCTGGCCGAGCCCGTCTTGGAGCGCAGCTTGTAGAGGTCGTCGATGTACTCGGTGGGCTCGATGGCGCAGAAGAGTTCGAAGGCCCGCATGGAGAGCTGGGTGGCGACCTCCACCGTGCTCAGCTGCAGCAGAGAGATCTGCGCCTCTCGCAGGAGATCCTGAGCGTCGTCGTCCGAACACAACGTCTCCGTCTCCATGTTGCTCTTCAGGTAGTATCTGGTTACAGAGGGGAATATGTGCTTTGTTATTAGGATTGTTATAAGATTAACCCCTTAAAATAAGAAAAGCAAACACATGCTGGTTTCTACAGAAGCTCTAAAGGGACATGCAGCCATACTTTTTCCTTGATAAGTCATTTCCAGTATTGTTTCTCAGGATCCGACTTATTTATCTCGTTTTCTCAGGACAACAGAACTGGTTTTCCTTTTATAATAAATTCATTTATCTCATTTTCTCGGGACGGGAAGGCTTGATGGGACAATTTACTGTGACAGACCAGACCACTGCACGCCATGCTGTCACTGTCCACACTAACGAGGTAAGTTTAACCTATTTCTTTTTTTTTTTTTATGGTTTTGACACACTCGAGAAAATTAAGTCAAAATCCAGAAAAAATATGTTACTCTTTTCTCTAGTCCCTCAATTAAACAACTTTTATACACAAGGGGAGGAGTCAGCCGGCCGTCCGGGCGATGTAAACAAAGTGAAGATAGGACTCTGAAAACTCTGAAAAAAGTCCTACAGTCCTCCCAGTTGAAATAAGCAAATATTTTAAAAAAAACAAATAGGGAAAGCTAAAACGATGGCAGGAAGTCAAACTTCAGCTCTCATTACCTTCCACTCAGCTGAATCCTGTCTGCGAGTTTGGACAGCTGATCGGGTAACCGCCTCTGCTTGATGACGCCCTCGGGTGTGACGGACACTTCGCACAGCGAGTACGCGTCCGCCGCTGCAGTCAGGGCGAACTCCCTGATGGCCTGAGCCACCACCTCCTTAGCCGTGGTGTCCTTCCCGATCATGATGTATCGAGACTGCTGGTCGGCCTTGAAGACTCGCAACACCTGGTCCGACATGTCTGAGGACGAGCAGAACACACGATGACGAGGACTGTTTCTTTTTCAGCCTCATTTTTCTTCATCTGTATTATGCAAATGAAGATTATTTCCAGAGCCACTTCCCAGACCCCAGAAATCAAAGAAACACCTCAAACCTTCTTTCCCATCATTCATTAGTTAGACCAGAAAAAAAAAAACCCTGCAGATCACATGACCCAAAATCTCCATTACCAAACCATCACCAATGCGCCCACAGAAAAAGTAAAGGTCAGTGCGATGGCGTTAGCGTTCTCCAGACATGAATGCAGATCGACTGAGTTTATGTTACAGCTGATTCATATCTGGAAGTCAGACATGGAGGCCGACGGCGTTTACAAAGACGGGACTGTGCTCGGAGAAGCAGGATCATGGGAAGAGAACATACTTACTGGGTGTGACTGGGACTGAAAGAACACAGACAACATGTGATGGACTGTTAATAAGAGCGTGCAGACTCTGATTCCACCACAGTCTAAAGATTTACGAGAGGTAATGTAAGGTTGAATGATGCAGGAAGACATTACTCTTGATTGTACATCTATGTATTTTATGGCTTTACTACTCTGTTAATTACTTTCAGAGAATGAAATGTGATATATGAGTAATGCTGCCTTCCAAGACAGCTAACCCTTTAATATTTCTGATGCTGCATTGCTGCCTTTCAATAAGATTTACAGAATAATCCATTTCATAAGTACAGTTTCTATCATCTTTGAACTATTTCTACATCAAGCTTGACAATTTCACCTTGAAGTTCGTTGCCATGTAGTTTCCATTTTGAAAACATTTATCTTCATGATCTTATGGCAGACTGAGTTTCAACACGAGAAAAACAAGTCCTTAAAAAAACAACAATAATGTTCTAACAACCAAAGTGTGTAGGAACTTCAACAACTGGTGAAGCTCTTGTAATCAAGCTAATTAGAGCAACTCAACAGACCCTAAGAAGAAGGTGAAGTCTGTGGGATATTATTCTGTCATAATACTGCACCTAAGCTCAACAGATTCACAATACATAGGTGTAAATCTACATTTCTAAGGACACTCCAACACCATTTAAAATGGTATGAGAAGGTCACACTGCCCTTAAAGTAACAGGGGTCTGATGCTTCTTTCCACATCGACCTCGTCAGAGCAGCGTGATACGCACCAGGCTGGTTGTTGAAGTCCAGGATGCGGTGGTGGGACTGCAGGAGGTCGGGGTTCGACGACGACAGGTTCCCGCTGACGGGCAGAGGTGGAGGGATCTGTTTGGACTGCTTCATGCCCACGATGCTGTCGTCCTGTGATTGGCCCACGCAAACGTCGCTATGGAAACAGGAGAGGGAGAGAGAGGGCATGGGAGGGGTGAGGCGGCAAGTTCTGGCAATGACAGGCAGGGGGCGATGTGAGTTGGCAGGATGAAGAGGTCTGTGCACAGAGTCTGCATTAAAGATACATAGAGACACATTTGATGCCTAATTTTTCATCAGCAGTTCTGACCTCCCTTCATTGGCATCCTCTTCTGTTTTGGGTCAATTTTATAATTTCATTAGTTACATACAAAGCCCTGCATGGCCTGGCTCCGACCTACATTACTGAATTACTGCATCCTTATTCTAGCAGCCGCCTCGTCCAATCATCTGATCAGGGCTTTGTAACAGGTCCTTGTACATATTTTAAATCCAGAGGTGATCATGCATTTGCAGTAGCAGCTCCTAAACGCTCCTCTATTACGTCAGGTTTGCAGAATCTGTAGTTTTCTTCTTGTAGGTCTGCATTTTAGTAAATTCTGTCTTTCTGTGCATGTTGCTTGTGTTTGAGTTTGAATGCATGCTGGTTCATTTGATTTATGTTGTTATGTAAATATGTCCTCATCCTGTGATTATGAGAAGCACTTTGTAAAGTCTTCTTATAATAATTGTGGCTGTGAGGATGATTGGTGAGCCACGTTCGGGTCCGTGAGCTAATACACCAATCTGCACCTGAAGCTAAATTATTATAACAACAAATTGATTATGCAATCTCACACGAGGGGCAGTGAAGATCAGCACTCTCATGATCCATGCTGAAGAGAATCACAGCGGTGCTGATATCCAAAAGAACTTCTCCACCTCGAGTGTGATATTGTTTTTATACAACAGCAGGAATTAGTGGTAAAAAGTTAAAATCAACTACAAGCAACTAGTTCCAGAATCAGGAAACTAGCCTGTTGACAAGCAACCCAAACATTCTATCCTCCTGCACTCTGTTGGTGTCCATGGTTACCACAGAGCAGCTACTCTGTAGTATGTTACTTACTTGTTAAAATCAATTAATGTGATCATGAAATCAGTGAAATCAGAGTCTGAGGTTTGATGTAAATGTTATTTTAAAAGTATTCAGAACTCTTCGCTGAGGCGCAGCGGAGGGATACATACTGTGAAAAGTCCCACTGATGTAGTTCTCCTTTATGGTCACTCGTAAAATGCCTCTTGTCCAATCAGATTGCTTGCTCTGAACTAACTTATTTTGATATCGATGGAAATATCACTGATTTTAGGAACCGAAAACTCACAACGAGCCCAAGGAAAAGTTTGAAGAAGCTTACTTTCACTCGATGATTCATCCCTGCTCGCTCTCTCTGATCACAGTTCTGATCACATCTAAACATTTTGAGTCATAATCAGCTGTTTGCTGCACTAGCATCAGTGCTTTACCCTTATTTTTCCAGATTTAATCATGTGCATTATCCAAGAAATAAAGGCCCCCATTTCCGTCTGACATTTCAATAATAATCTCCCTGAAGCTGTATGGACGAAGCAAAGCAGAGTATTTTATCAGTGAGGTTAAAACAGCAGAAGAACGATTGATCGATGGCTCTATCTGTTTGTTTTGCATCATCAGTGCAGCACATCCTAATGCCCAAAAAAAGAACACCTCTTGATTTTTTACAATTGAGAAGAGTCGAGATGAAAAGTCCCATCAGTCAAAATCACAGCTTCTCTCTGCACAGAATTTTAAAAAAAAGTTTGACTCGCTGAAATCAAAACGTTTCCCTCTCTGCGGCCTTCGGGGTCGTTTTTAAAGATATTTATAGAAAATTATTAATACAGAAAAATCTGTAATCTGCTTTGAGCAACCGACTGACAACATCTCAAATTCACCTCTCAGTGCTCGCTATCGATCAGTAACCATGACAAACGCTCAACGCAGCTTTAATCAGAGTTATTTTCAGTGATCAGGTCCTCTTACTTGTACGGTTTAGGAGGCAGGATGCTGGTGAGCGTCTTGTCGAAGATCTTCTTCAGCTTGTTGCGTCCTCCCACCGTGTTGGTCTTGGCCTTCTTGCTGACCTTCTCCAGGCCCATCACCTGCTCCACGTCCACCGCCAGGTCGGGGATGGAGTACCGGCTCGCCTTCTTGATGTCTCCGATCTTCGGCAGGTGGGGCGCTCCGTTCTTTCGGTCGTGTTCCTCCTCGCCGTCCAGGTCGTGGTCATGTTCTGGCCTGGTTAGCAGCTCTTTAAATACTGGGGGGAAAGGAGAGCCCGATGTTTAGTGTTAATGAAGCTGAGTTATGGCTATCGTAAGAATATTACTCTCTCTTTTCTTTTAGTTTCAAACACCCCTGGCTCTACTGGGAAATGATTCACACCTTAGCTTCTCTGGGACTAAAATGTCGAGTCGGGCTTTAACTGAATAAGTAATTCCCAAGACTTCTCGTTTATGAGCACTTTAAAAAAAAGTAACCCCTTTTTACTGATCCTATCCATCAAACTATTCAACCATGCAGAGGTTCTCCTCCCCCCAGAGATGGTAAATCATCCTTGAAGAACAGAAAAAATCTAGAAAATGAATTTACATTAAAATCTATTTCTCTTTCCTCTCTTGTAAATCTTCTAAAAACCACTTTATCACCCTCCGTACCTTTACATCGTTAGCCCACTGGTTTAAAAACATCAACCCTTACAGTACAGGATCATAATCAAACACTAAAAAGTACTTGAGGGTTTCTTGTAAATACAATAAAACGTTACCTAAGAGGTTCGTTTTTACAGTTATGGACAGATGGGTGTTGTTCTTCAGAATCTCGTTGGCTTTGTTGAGCTGGACGTTTTCAAAGTTTTGTCCATTGACCTCCAAGATCTGAAAAAACAAAACAAGGACAATTACACACACTGCCTCATATCAAAAGGACTTCCTCTCGTCGTCTTCTTAAGACCTTAAAGCAAAAACATAAAGCTGCATGGCAATCCTAATAGATCTAAAGTTATGCATGTAGATTTGGACCAATTGTCTGAACTGGTTTGCACAAAAACCAGACGGTGGCATCTTGTGTCATTTCAAACACGAGTCTGAAGCTTTGATTCCAAAAACCTTTTCAGGTAATGATTTCTGAATCTTCAGACTTCCTCCAGTGAAACCAGAGAGTAGAAACTGCATCCTCTTATTCATTCATTCTGCAGCTCGTTGTTTTGACATCAGTGTAGGTCTGAACACCTTGACCTCTGTTTATGGGCCGGATGTGTGCGTTCATACACACTCCACTAAGCAGCCGTTTCCTCCACCTCCTGCCGACGTGAGGCCCGTAAACACTCACTAACAGGACTAAATGTCTGTTCAGGAATCAGCAGAAATAAGTGACATGTTTGCTTTGACTGAACTGCTGGAGCACTTAAAGGAACGGTCAAATGATAAAACAAATGGTAAAGCTCGGAGTGAATGTAGAATCAGTGATGAACTTGAAGTTGTGAGCGGTTGGAGAGTCAGCTTCTCTGGTTCCTTTTTTTTTGGGGGGGGGGGGGGAAACAGCTGCAGGGGATGTTTGGAGTCAAAAGGGCTTAACTCGCATCCCGACACTCTCGAGATGGTTTCAAGGATTAAAGGGACTTTGTGCTTAAAGCTCAGAGGACTGCAGAGTGTGAAAACTGTTGAGAAGTCAAGTTGCGGAGAGAAAGCCAACACAGGACGCTCGAAGCTCCTTCGGGAGTTCAATTTAAGAAAAAGAAAAACCTTTTAATGCCAGTTAGAGCCAAATTCAAAACCAATTTCACAACGAAAATGAACTTCAACACTCGTAAAAAAAGGATCAATTCGAGTGTAGGTGTGTGTGACAGGAGGGGATTTCTGCTCACAGTATTCACTTCCAGACAAAGCTAACACTTGTACAGCTCTTTATAGAGATTTATTTAACACATTTCAAGTGGAAATCCCAAAATTTAGACACAATGTAATACATTTTTTGCAGCAGGAGCAATGTCTACGGTCTGAAAGTTCAGTATGTAGAAATGAAATGGTTATGGATCATGGTGGAAGGACACCAAACATAATCAGGCGTCGACAGTCAAACGGTCAATATACCTGATCTCCACGCTTAAGGCCGACTTCTGCTGCCTTGCTCCCGGGCTCCACGGCTTCGATGAAGATGCGGAAACCTTTCTCCTGTCCCCCCAGGAGATTGAAGGCCAGCGGGGAGTCCCTGCCAGGCTTAGTCAGCGTCACCAACCGAGGCTTAGCTTTAGCAGCGCACGCTATGTTTAACAGTCTGAGGTGCCCGCACATTTTCTGGAATGAGACGACACAAACGTGAGGAAACGGCATCAAAGCAGGTACACCAAAGTACATATATATATATATATATATGTATGTATCTTGTGCATGTGTAGTTGTTGGACGTACTTCTTTCTCCAGATTGTTTTCAAACTCCTCCAGGAAGTGAGTCATGGCGGTGTCACCCTCAAAGTCGTTGAAGTGATTGTTTACCCACAGCAAGACTACCCGTGTTACCTGGAGCGATCACATGATGAGAACAGGTCAGTATACATGTCACAGGTTAACTAGTGATGTATGTATGATGTAGTTTACAGCCTGACCTAGAAAAACTGTCTCTGGGTTAGAGAGAAGCTTCTAGGCTGTTTCCGGTCAATAAAGCATACTCTTCTGTTTTTAAATGGGGTTTTATTGTAAGCTCATAGGCTCAATTTCCTGAAGCTTACACTATGGATGTGAACATTTCTGATGCTTCTATGTTTTCTAGAAACCACATAAAATGATAAAATCTCTGTTTTACTTTAGATTGAATCAAAAGTATAGAGCTTAAAAAAAAACACAGATCTGCAGTCAAATTTCAAGCCAGAGCTGCCGTGAGCAAAGTCCATTCACTAGTGCTTTTGAGGTTAAAATAATGTTTATGCATCTTACAAAAGACACAGAATAGAGGAGCAGACAGGGTCTAAATTGCAAAAATACATTGGTCACATTTTCATACTGAATTGTTGCCAAAACATTTGTGCAATTAAGACAGTGTCACCTGAAATCAGCCGATAATTTGTATCTAGGAGTTGAATTTTGATTGCTGTGGTAGAAACAGGTATCGATATCCTTCCTAGTATTGTATCAAAGTTTAGAATCCTGATATCGTGACAGCCTTAGATTAAATCTGATTATACATTGTTGTGTTTCATCAGTTCATGCAGGCGTGCAGTGATTCTACTCCCGTACTTTGTCCCTGAGACTCGGGTCGTGGAACCACTCCAGGAGCTTCTTGCCCACGACCATGGGGCTGGAGAGGAAGGTCCTGTAGGTCAACAGGAAGTCCTCGATGTAGGTGGGATCCACCACCGAGTGCTCCTCCACAAGGTGCATGGTGAGACGCTCCGATGTGCCCTGAGATTAGAAACCAGACGGTTTTTTAGTGCAACAGGAATGTTTATTTTTAAAGATCTGTAGCTAAATGTCTTGACTTTATTGGACTTTATTTTCCTCATCATCACAGCAGCTCCATTTACAAAATAAGAATTAAAGACATACAAAGATACAAACATTTGACAGAACATTTTAAACAATAATAATAATAATCAGAGGCCCTCGTTGTACTTCTGATCTGGGACTAAGCTCCATATTCAATTCTAGGACAGACAAGCGTACAATCATATTACAAACATGTCTCTTCAGAGGCCCCTCTTTATGTAGATTTTGGATAATAATAATGACCTTGATGACGATGTGTCCTTTCCTGGTGCCCGTGCGGTCCAGCTCGCGGTGCTCCTTCACCATCACGATCTCTCCTTCCTCCTCCACCTTCTGCATGTTCTTCTCCACCTGGTTGAGGATGCAGCAGTAGTCCTGCTGAGCTATACACACAAACTGGAGCAGACAGGAGAGCACAACAGTTAGAGGAACACTCGACAGACACTCAGGGAACTTATTTCACCACTGAACTTAAAAAACCACTGTTAACACGAGTCTTAAAAGAAACTGCAAAGAAACTAAACTAGAATCTCCACTGATGAATTATGAAAGAGGGGGCTTTCACTAATTAGGAGCAAAAACATTTTCTCATCCAGACGCTCAGCTCCTGATGATTAAAGGCCTAAAAATCTGGGTCTTTACTTTCCCTGTTTAGTATTTTGCTCGCATTAAAAGACATGATGCAAAAACAATGTGATCTTTCCTGAGCTGGCCTGTTCTCTTTAAACTCGGCTGTTTCTCTAAAACTATGAGTGCAAACCCTCTCTGCATGGGAAGGGTCACAGTGGGATTTAATACCCTCACATATACGGGTTACTTTGCTTTTTCACGCTGAGAACCCTAAAATGCTGCAACATGGACGTCTAGGTGGTAAAATATCCTACCTGGCAGTCGTCCACCTTGGTCTTCATGACGCCCTTCATGTATTCCTTCTCCATGGTGGGTGACACCCCAAAACTGTTCCCCATGCACAGGATCTCCGTCCGGCTGTCGGGGTACGTCACCTCCACCGAGCCGTTCAGGATCACCGACCACGAGTCCAGCTGGAGTTGAAAAGAGGATTTTTTTAAAAGTTAGAAGGAGAAACAAAGAACACGAAAGAAAACAAGACTACCACAAAAAAATGACTTTGTAGCTCACATTAAGTTCAGTCTTATATTACTCCCAACAGCTGGTGTCCCCGAATGAGTCAAAGTTATTCATCAAAAAAAAGAAGCATATGTAGTTACTACACGGGGACTGCTGCACTAACAGATGGGATTAAAGCATCCTCAGAGGGAAACAGCAACAACAGAGACGACTACGATGTGAAGTCACAACACACTTTAAAGGCTTTATATGAGATTTCTCACACTTAAATATAAATCAAGTATATCCTCTGAAAATAACTCTGTGAGTCATGACTGTCTACAATGGGTGTAACACCCGAGTCCCACTGTCTGTGATGCTTTCTGAGTTTTCAGAGTCCTATCTTCACTTTGTTTACATCGTCAGGACGGCCGGCTGACTCCTCCCCTCGTGTATAAAAGTTGTTTAATTGAGGGACTAGAGAAAAGAAGAATAACATACTGTACTCACTGCTTAACTGTGTTTCTAGATCACGCTCATTTCAGGTAAATTTACATGCAGTGTGAAGATACCAGCAGAATAAAGATCACTAGCATTAGCATGCTAACACAACAATGCAGCGCCAGTTGTTTTGGTTTCATGCTGGTGCTCAAGGGCGACATCTGCTGGATCAAAAAATGGCATATAAAGCCTTTAAGTATTGTTACACTACATGTTGAATAAATATTTTATCCTTTTACTGCGAGATAAGTCAAAAAATGTTTTCAAGAATCCCTCGAAAGCAGACTTTTTTGTTTCCTCCAGCAGCAACAATGTGACTCGGCCCTCACAGGCAAACCCTGCTCTTTATTGTTTGGGTGCATTACAGCCAAATTGTCTTCATTGAAACTCATGTCAGAGAGAGAGAGAGAGAGAGAGAGAGAGAGAGAGAGAGAGAGAGAGAGAGAGAGAGAGAGAGAGAGAGAGAGGGAATAAGTGATGCTTTGCTTTAGCTGCCTGAGGGCTCCAGGAGAGGCCCGGTGATAAGGCCGGTCCACCATTCAGACTTAATAGAGCAGAAAAAAAAACATCAAATGGAAGAAAGAGTCGTTGGTGTGAAGGGGTGAAACGGAGGTTGAGACTCACACACTAACATAAATACATTTAAAGACAAGAGTCACAAGACATGGGCTTTATGTGTGATTGTTTATGCAGTCGACACACACACACCTCCTCTCCATCGTTGAGGACGATGGTGCCGGCCCGTTCCACCACGGCGAAGACCATGACGGCGCAGAGTTCCCTCCTCACTGACATGGTCATGTTGGCGAATGCTGGCAGCTGATGCATGAACTCCAGTAATTGCTCTGCGAGAGGGGAAGAGGGAGAAAGACACAAGAGGAGGAAGAGGAGGAGGATTAGAAAACAGAGTCTTGACACCCAGAGGGGGGAGAGAGAGAGAGAGAGAGAGAGAGAGAGGACAGTGCAGCCTCGTTGGCAACCGGGCGTGCACGAGCTGCAGGCTGAAGCATCACAACGGATCATCATAGCCAAACAGAGGAATCGTTATCTGGAGAACATAAAGCCAACTATCAAGTCCATTGATATAAATGTTCAAGGCGAGCCGAGAATAATTGCTGACACTTTGCTCGATGAACCTCAGGGTGAGTTCAACGCAGACACGAGGCAGAAATCACATTTAGAGCGCTGTCTACAAATTAAAGGGGACGTACAAAAGTACTCATACTAATATAATAAAAGAAATAGACTTTTATTGTCTTTTGATCGTGCACTTCACATTTTAAGATCTCCTCATTTTCTTGCCTACCTACCCGCTAACATCTATCATTTCTGGCTTATGCACATTTATGAACCGATTGTTTAACCTCTCAGGGACAATTAGAAACACTTAGATAATGACCTGCTCCACCTCCTCCTGATGTAGAAATACTGATTTCATCCAACCAACTATTCATAACCTTAAGACGTTCAGTTGACTATCATCAGGTAAAGACGAGCAGCGAGTCCTCATCTATTGTTTGGCTCACTTAAGATGCTAATAGTTTCAATTAACTGTCAGTGAATGGGTTAAGTTTTTAAATCCATGAATCCCTTCAGCTCTGCCTGCAGCCTTCCTATCCAGAGACCCCGTTAACTCTGCCTCCTCATGATGAGACCTCCATGTGAACAACATGTGTGGGTACATTTTTATTCTCAGTAGAAATTCTTCTCGTTAAAAAACTGTCACAGCGAGGTTCTGAGGATCACGCTGAGCTACCTGGGCAGCACATGTGGCTTTATTTCATTTTTTGTTCAAGTAAAAGTATTAAAAACTGCTGGGGTGGTCTCAAATATTTCAAAGGAATATTTCCTAAAGGACTGTGCACAAAGAGGACGCACACTTTCTGTTCTTCGGGTGAACGGCTTTAATCCTGCTTGTATCTGACTGGGTGTGTCGTTAAAGAAGGAAATTCCATGTATAATACAGGGCCCTTAGACATGCACCCCCCTCTATCCCCCCCAGCCCCCCCATATACCACCAGCTCTCTCCTCCTGGCAATAGTCTGGCGAACTGACTGACCTGTGCTTGGCATGGCAACAGCATCATCGTGTGTGAAGCTGCGGAAGCACTGAAAGTTTAATGTGCAGGGAGAGGTGAGGCGAGAGGATGTGCCGGAGTGACCTAGAAAAAGCCTGCCGGCGGAGGGAGGGGTGCGCCGCGGGGGGGGGATCAGCAGATAGGGGGGGAGGGGGAGAAAGACTGGCACTCATTCTCTGCATCCAGAGCCTCAATCCTCCCCCCCCCCAAAGTCCACATCTGTAGCTAGGAGCCGACACTGTGCACTTTATTGATTTTAAAACATGCCGATCGTTATCATTAGAGTTGAGTCAGAGCTTTGAGGGATTTGATACTTAAAGCCTTAAGAATGACTCAACAGCTGCATCTTTAATAAGAGCAGGAGAGAAAAAAAAAAGAAAGAAGAGAATGTAAATGTGTTTGATATTAAAATAAGAAAGGGGTGTGGCTTTTATAGAACGCTGTATTATTCTCAACAGGGACAAAAATACTGTCTCTACCTGGAGTAACGCTGCCTGTGCTTCTCACTGATGTCTGAGGAAATGCCTCCTCCAAACACGTCTTGTAAAGGTGCCACACTCAGGTATGCACAAAAAGTACATTTACATTTTTAGATTAAATACTGCTAGGCTTCAAAAAACATCGTCCTAGTGCGAGTCATAATCTGCATTGTAATATAAACTAAAAACACAATAATCTCGTCTCGTTCAGCGCTCACCTATGTCATCGTCTGTTCGGTCCATGGGGTCTTTCTCCAGACAGTCCCGCACGATGTCCCGGCTCATGAGGGGATCCGACGCTCGCTCGATGTCCTCCTCATCGTCGTCCTCCTCCGAGTCGACGGCCGTCTCTGGCAGGCCACTCAGGTCCATGTCGCCTGGTTCGTTTTCTGTGGCCTGAAGAAGAGCAAAAACAGAGGAGACAAGAATCAGTAAATCTGATGTTTAAAATTCAAAACAGAATGAGGGATTCTGTGTCTCTGTCCAACACCAGCAGCTGGTAAACTACAGTACAGCCAAGTGTCCATCAACGTCTAATGAGTCAAAGAACAGACCAGATCATCAAGACAGAGCCACCGCATGCTGCTGCAGAACTGTAGATTTCTACTTACATGCCTGAGAAGCCAATCAAATGTTAGTAGGGGATTAACAAGCCAGCGACCAAACTGTCAAAACTCAGACAGAGTGAAGTCATTTGTAAACAGCGAGGGTTGAAATCTAGTTTAATGAGGATACAGAGGAGGGGGGGCTGCTTCTGAAATCATTTCACATGACAAACATCAGCTGCACAACAATGCAACTCCAACCAAAAGCAAAAAATAACAAAAGAGCTTCGGTAAAAAAATCTGTTGTGCAGATTTGACCCATTTCATCAAATAGATTAGAGGTTTCTGAGTACAGTATGAGAGAGACAGGCGTCAACGCTGCATACCAAACAGGCTGCTGTGCATAGTAACAAGCTAATTAACTCCCCAACTTTTCCCTCTCCTCTCCCCCTCAGAAAAAACTTCAGTGGCTTGCCTCGCAGCGAGATCCGCTTCTTTGAAAGCACAAGATGAAATATGTGTGGAGCTGAGGAAAATGAACGGGAGATCAGCGGTGAAAGTAATGCAATTACTTGTGAAGGAGTGATACTTCTGTGGTCCTCCTCTCTGCTATCATCAAAAGAAAAATGTTTCCGCAAATGACAGAGGAAGCCATATTGCATGATTTTCTACACACGCAACATGAAACCTTCTCACAGATGAAACCAAAGCAGTCGGGAGAAAAGCAGGACTACAAAGCATCATCTCTGCTTCTGCTCCAACGAGGAAAAAAAAAACCCTTCCTTCTTACCTCAATATGGTGCCCAACCTCGAGCTTCTTATAAGAAAGAGAAGAAAGGGCTCCCTTTGCAAAGTGTCCGCAAAATCCCAGAGCCAAACGCATCTTCACCTTTCAAGACTGTCGCTCTCTGCTTTTAATTTTTCAAGGCGGCTCAGAGTCCCTGTGCCAGGTCTCTCTAACAGAAAGCCCTGTGTCATTTCTCCTCAAAACGCCATGTGCAGAAAGGCGGCTCATTAATGATTCAGGCCGGTGTCTGAGTGGCCATTTGGGCATCACAGGGTGCACACGCCCTGGTGGGCGGGGCTGATGATCTGGGCGTATGTGTGTGAGGACCTTTGACAGATTGAGTAAAAGAAGTGTAAAGTAAGAGCGTTTGAGAATATCGTACCTCAACATAAAAACGATCTAAAAGGATGTAAAAGAAAAAGTCTCTCTGAATCTGAAACATGAAACAGAACGAAGCGCGACCACAGATTTGAACAGCGCTCCCCGAGAACGCTTTGTCCTAAAAGCACGATGCTTGCATATTCATCGCCTTGTTTCCACAGATGGACAGAGGACACACAAGACAAGATCACCACACTCGTTTTTTCCTGCAGCAGATGAATTATGTCACAACTATAAACCAGCTAAATGCATATTCCCTCTTATTGTGACTTGATTTGTTGACACGCTCAGCATGCCACATTCAGAAAAAACGTGTTGAATCCTCGCCTCTAGCACGCTGTATTTATATTAAAAAAAAACTTGCCCGTGTGCTTTTATATTCTTGCACTGTGTCTTTTTTTCCTGTGTCATCTGTGCATCAAACATCAATAAATGTGCAGTAAGCATCCAGAGTCAGTGGGCAGGTCGGCTGCTGTGAATATTTCATCAGAGCTATTCTTGGATCAATGCTTTCAAAGGCCTTCTGAAGGACCGATTTCATGATTAATTCAAACAAAACAGAGCGCCATGTTGATCGTGACGTGACAGTGATGAGCGAGGGGAGCATCAAGTGAAGAGACCAAAGTGGGCTGAGGAGATTTGAGCAGCGGGGGGGCGCTGGGGGCGGAGCAGGGATTAAACTCCTACCATCACAAATGTTCACCTCTCTCTGCTCATCACCTCTCAGTGTTCATTTACACTCTGATGTAAATTAATATACTTCCTGTGGTCCCGTGTGTAAAGAAGAAGACCCAGACCTCCGCTGATTATTTTATTCAAGGACTCCTCGAGTGAGACAACAGAGATTGTTAGTGCTCTAAAACGCCACATTATTAATTCTAAAACCTGCAGGGAGCAACTTCAGCAAACCATCAGGAAGTAATGATGCAGAAAACAAAGAGTTTGGAGAGTCCTGCAGGGGGGTGAGGGGGACAACAGGATCCTAAGTCATTCTGAACCTTTTTGGAAAAGCTTGTACATGGACCAAAAAGGTAAAGAAGTTCTATCATGAATGTAGACTGGTTGATAAAGAATACAGATTAAACACATCTCCTTTGTTTAACAACTTCATCCTTGTTGGCAAATAAAATATTCTGCTAAATGATATTGCTTTTCTGTAAAATACTGCATCATTTAACTTCATCTGGTCTCTTCATTTTAATCAAATACAAACTATAAAACACATTTTAATGAGCCAATCACAACCCAGAGACTTCCTTTGAAGGTGACATCCTTTAAACTGGAATGTTTTCATTAGAGGAGGGGGAAAAATCGATTTATGTAAAAATAGGGATTCTTCTCCACTAAGATTTAAAATCGTTTCATATCTTCCAAAAATCGATTTTAACTTTTGTTTTGGGGCTAATCAGTGACTCCCTGCTAAATGCTAATGCTAGCTCTTCAACTCAGTAGAATGCCAAATATAGCAGCAAGAAATTCAGCCAGTCTCACAGATGACTGGAGAAGATCCTGAAGTATGGACTCATTCATAAATAGACTTTGAATCATGAATCCAGAAATTGATTTGAATCGAAAATCAATTCTGAATCGAATTGGAGACAATTCACTGATTCTGATCGGGAAACACTGAAGCTTCTGCTTTCAATCCTGAGAATTGAACTGTGATTGAAACCAAACATGGCTGCACTTACAGATGATCACTCTTTGATTGATTCATTCATCTGGTAATTTACCCATGTATTCTTTTTTTATGCACCAGGAGCTGAAAATAATAAAGAGACCACCTTAAAATGTTACTTCATCCAACATTCAGTCCAAAACCCCAGAAGATAAAGTCTACTCTGATAGAAGACAGCAATCAGGACAAGCTCTACTTCAGGGCAATCAAACCAGCCACTCACTGGCGTTTAAGATTCAAACTTTTAGTCGATTGTCACGCCCAAATTTGGACGGCAATCACACAGGATTTTAGAGTGAAGTGCGAAGGAGAAGCAGCTTTCACACTTCAGATCACAAGTTTAAACACTGGAGTAAAGAGAGGAGAATAATTACACAGAGAGACAAAACAAGATGAGACGAATGAGCAGACGTTAACACCCAGAGACAGAGCAGCCGCACTGCAGGTAGATTAAAAGCTGTGAAGGTAGAGAATCCAAAAACAAAAAAAAAAGAGGGAAGAGAAAACAGAGCAGTGAGTTTCAGAGACACAGAGAAAGAGAGAGAGAGAGAGAGAGAGAGAGAGAGAGAGAGAGAGAGAGAGAGAGAGAGAGAGAGAGAGAGAGAGAGAGAGAGAGAGAGAGAGAGAGAGCTGCTAGCAGATGGCTCTAAGACCAGGATCAGTGACTGGGGACAGTTAGAGCCTGTTCAACCTGCCCCAGCCAGGCACAGCGAGGCCAAACATGTACAGACACACACACTTCTCTCTACGATAACACACACACACACTCAAACAGGCCTAGCAGCAGCGATGTAAAAAAAGCTGTGTTCAAACGGTTTGATTTAATGCTCCATCACCCACAAACACGGAAGAAGAAGAAGAAGAAGAAGAAGTCTGTAGTCAACACAGCCACTCAGACTGAAGCCCTCTGAGCACAGTCACACTTATAAACAAACACACACACACAAATAGGCACACAGCAGGTGGCAGTATTAGGAGCCAATAGGGTGGGTGCTCTGTGTTAAGCGGATTAGTTACAGGGTTTGGGGCACGTCCACAGTCACGGGATTGTGTGTGTGTGTGTGTGTGTGTGTGTGTGTGTTCGGTTGAGCTGAATTGTGTGTTATTTACCTCTGGGAGGTGAGGTGAGGCTTTCCTATTCCTTAGTCTCTCTTTCTTTCGTCAGGGTTACTTATTTAGTATCTTAGTCACACTCAAAGGATTCTGTTAAAGTCTGCTGCTGCTCTATGTAATATTTAAGTATAAAAAACAAAAAACCTGTTCTTAACACCTTTCAACACACCAGACTGTACGCCACAGCTCCCTGGGAGTCCTTCACTTCAGCTTTGAGGTGATGAGACACCGAGCTGGAGTCAGGAAGTATGCTGGACCACCTGCTCGCAGCCACCCGCCTGTCTGCTCGCCCCCCCTCCCCCCCTCCCCCGCTGAGCAGTGACAGTGTCCTATTAGTGGGTCTTTTAGCCTTTTAGTGTGCCAGGGGTTTTTTCTTTGCCAGATTTTCTGCTCCTACCTAATGAGACTAACCTGCTTTCCCAGAGGTATATTTGTCATTCCACGAGGCAGAGAGTCTCAGACTTTGAATGACACGAGCCGGGCTTCAGTTCAACGCTCTCGTCTGATTTATCATCATGATGATTGAAGCGGGTTAGAAACATTAGCTTACAGTTTATTTTATACTTACGTTAGTTAACATTTCATGTCAGGCAAACAGAAAGTAAGCTGACATGAACACATCCCATTGTCAGAGTTAACCCAGAATCATTCAACTGGGTTAAAACTCTGCTTCTAGATTTGGTCGTTACTCAAAGAGGGAAGGATCCAAGAGATGAAGACATTATTTTCCCCAAAAGGAATAGTTTGACGTCTTAGGAGATATGCTTTTAAACGTTGCTGAATTCCAGAAAGCTTGACGAGTAGATTGATACCACTCATGTCTATAGCTGACAAATATGAAGCTAGCTAGAGTCAGCGGCTAGTTAGCTTAGCTTAAGGTTAGTACAAATGCTGTTTAAGAGGTAAAAAACTATCCTACGAGCACCTGCTGTAATTAACAAAGCTGATAAATATGTTATATCCTGTTTGTGTAATCGGTACAAAAACCAAAGCCGGAAAAAAAAATCTATTCCAGTCTCCAGGCTAAACTAAGCTAAGCTCAGATAAGCTAACTAATGGCTTCAAAATGTACTCTACAGACTTAAAAAGTATACATTTGATAGATAAAGCACTTTGCAGGTAATTCAGGTAAATTAAAATACAGGAAAATAAATTAAGAATGGCGAAGATATTCATGTTTAATCTTCAGAAGAATATAAAAAGCATATTTCCCAAATGTCAAAAACATGAGCTAATGTCAACTCTTGCTCGTTGAGTGGAGGTTGGATCTACAATGAGAATCTAAGACTCATCTAGTAGACTCACTATCACACCTACTGAAGTGTCCAGGGGGAGTCCAGGATAGGGGTCCTCTAACCAAGGGGCGTCCTTACCTGGTAAATGTCTGACAGGCTGCTGCTTCCAGAGTCGCTGGTGATACTACATCCTGAGTGGCTGGAGGAGACGTGGGTCACCTGTGGGTGCAAGCCGTCGGCCAGGTGAAGTCTGCTGAAGTCTGCGGGGAGCTGCACATACACACACACACACACACACACACACAAACACAAACACACACACAACATACACACAGATGGTCAGTATCAGCCAGCTCAGCCGCCACCACTGGTCACTCACGCTGACAATCATGCTGACTGCAACGCCGTATGGGAACACACTTAACGGCGTTTCATTCTCCAATGTGACTACGAACAAATAAAGTGGAAGGAGAGCTTCTTCTCTACGCCGGCTTCAGTTAGTTCTTTCTTTTTCTTTTTTTTTGAAGCTTTATTTTGGAGCTTTTTACACTTTTAGAGGATAGAGTCAGAAATCACAGGGAGAGAGAGAGAGTTGGGAATGGCATGTGGAAAAGGAGCCACAGGTCGGAATCGAACCCAGGCCACCCGCTTGGAGGACTACAACCTCTATACACGGGGCACTCGCTCTAACCACTATGCTACCAGCGCCCCTATTTATTCTAACTTTAATAGTGAAACACAGTAATCCTTGATGACGGACTGAACCCAACGTCTTCTTTATGTGTTTTGTACAAAAAAATACAAAAAATATTTGCATTTTTAATTTTAATAAGAAAGTACCCCCCCAAAAAAACCTCACACACAATGTTCCCCTCGTGAATACCAAAGATAATCTGTCTTTATTCCACAGCTAAGATAAAGCAATGCTAACAGGACAAACAAATATGTCAAGAACTGCTCAACTTTTCTTCTCAAAGCGAGACAAAGGCAGAAATTTACATTTTGTTTCAATCAAGGAATCAATAAAAATGTTTCCTTGCCTCTGCTGTTCCTCTAATGTGTCCGTTATCAAAAAGTCGGGACACATTTTGACAGCTGAAGTGACCCTCAAAGTCTGTAACTGATGACGTTACCGCGACATATTGAAAATGTAAATCTTCGGTTCCATATTTCCGACAGCTTCTGATATTAGCAGTTAGCTGCTGTGTGCACTGAGCGAAGAAAAACCAACAGGAAGCCGTGCATACATTAAGGAAACTCCCTAATTAAAGCAGGCAACTGGAATAACCTAAATGAACACCAAGCAGTAATGGAGGGGGGAGGGAGGAGGGGGGGGGAACCCCTCTGAGTAATTCATGCTGTATAAAGTAGCAGGAAGCCCCCGCTGTAATTAAAACTTATAGTAAATGAGCCGACCCACTTCTCTATGGAGATGACCCCGAAATGTAAAATACACCAGGAAAGCCCCCTGCTGACGGGTGAATAAAACGAAAACAAGTACGGGAGTTCGTACAGCCACAGTTTGAGAGTTTATCTGAACAAAATGATGTGATGTACGTACTGAAGTGAAGCTGAAAGTGATCGGTTACTCGGACACTTCACTATCGATTAATGTTCCAGTATGAAGTACAAATGTGGGACATCTTCTCACGCTATTTCCAGACTTTCTTTCTGACATAAAACAGACTAATAGCAGTTATTTTTAGTTTTATTTTATTGTAAATGGACTTGAGCTTGTATATTTCTTTTCTGGTCTTCTGACTACTCAAAGCTCTTTTAAACCGCAGGTCACACCGACACATTCACACACTGATGGTACAGGCTGATATTGAGACGTAGAAGTAACTAATCCCATTCAAACACCGCCAACAAAGCAGCATGAGCAACTTGGGGTTAAGTGTCTTGCCTCACATCGGACATGTGGCTGCAGGAGATGGGGATCGAACCCCCGACCTTCCAGTTGAGAGACGACCGACTCTACCACCTGAGCCACATCTATATAGTCATCTATACTCCATGTGATCTGCAGAGTCCCTCTGCACCTTTAAGAAAAAGCTAAAGACCCAGCTCTTTCATGAATACCTACTAACTTAATGATGAAGGTCTCCATATTATTGATGATGATGATGGTAATGACGATGGTTTTTGTTTGATAACGACGACTTATAAGATGGTTTCTATACTGATTAGAGCTCTCAAGAACTGCCCTCAATGTTGTGCTTTGCCTCTGGTCACTTCCTGTCAGCACCTGTGTGTCCAATCAGACTCAAAGCTGATCGTTTGCTCTTACTCACATTGTTCCCTTTTTTCTAGATCCTTGCTTGTGTTGTTCTTACTCTCTGATGTACGTCGCTTTGGATCAAAGCGTCTGCTAAGTGAATTGTAGAACTGTAGAGTCTTTAGTTATTAGGGTAAAGTTATTTCTAAACTGAGAACATAATTGCTGTATCAAACAATCATTTAACTCACTTTAGTGCACAGTCCTTTTCAGTTCTGTATCAGGCATCAACACTTCCAGTTCCCTTTACATCAAATATATCAACATGTGGTTAATTTACCATCTGTAGATGTCAATCAAATAAAACTGTTTCCCCCTGACATTTGAAATATCGTTTTAAAAGTATAAGGATTTATTTGAATTGTACCTTATTATTTCTAACTGGAACGCCAGAGGGGTGAATTATAAAAGTCATCAAACAGCGTACATTGGTTCACAGGGTCTATACGCGTGAATATTTTATAGCCAGATGTTTTATTTACCAATATATATTTGATACTCAGCGGGGAGGTCGCTCTGAGCCGCTTCCAACCTCCATTTCTGGCAGTGGAGGATCCTCATTAATAAAACATTTTTTACACCAAAATGTCAAATATGGCTGATTTAACGAGGTGACCTCATTCGTCTTGTGCTACTAGAGCTGGATGTAAACATCTACAGAGGGAGTTTTAGGAGTTGAATGGTTTCAGATGTTGATGTAGAGAGGGGACATGATGTTAAATTATATATTATGTACAATGGTTTGAAAAGTTAAAAACTTTTAACCCAGCTTTGCTACATGTCAGGAAAAGGTCAGAGTGTGAAATTGAAAGGGAAAAGACGCATGTTTGTCCCGGTGTTCATCCTGCTGTAGGTGTGACACTGGACGTGCAGCCACTTGCCGGTGCTTTTAGCTCGTCTCCTCCTCGAGGTGGTAAAAGGCTCTCTGAAGCACCGGGTGTCGCTTTGCGCTGTAAACAACCACGCTGCCTCGGGTGACTTTTTTTTTTTGGAAATCTGCCTCAACAGCCACGAGACAGTGAAGTCCCACTTGGATGACAAATGGAATAGATTGGATAGCAACACATTTTGAGGAAGTTCATTTGCAATTAAATGGATTTGAGTTGTCAGCTGCTCTTGAACGTGCTCTTAGAAAAACGCTCGTCGTCGTCGCGGCTTTTGAAGCGCTCATCTGCTTTAACGCTTAATTAAAGAGTTTTGGAAAAGGCACCAAAAGTGTTGTTTTTTTCCCGGTTGCCAGCGTTATCGCCGTGGAATATTGGAGACTACTTTTGACTGAAATTCTTCTCAATATTCATGATCTGCCCCTTTGAGACGGAGCCACAGTGGAGAGCTTGAAAGTGATGTGGTGATGAAGGGATTTAGCAGAAGGTATGGCGAGACATTTAGAGACCTTTCTGGACGGTTTGTTGGGTGAAAATTGGAAAAGAAAATAGGACATATATCTATTCAAAAAGCTCCAATATGTGTCAATGACAGAGAGTGAGAGCGAGACATTCGAGCTCTGGTGGCACTGAGGTGTGATGTGTGACCGCACTATGTCAAAGATTGCCATCACGTTTAATTATCTGGATGACTGCACTAACTAAAATGGTCCACCGGAGGGTCCAGTCAGTCTCTAACCCCCCACCCCCCACCCCCCAGGCTGTTATTTCCCATCCCCTCATCTCACTCTGACCGCCTCCAGCTGACTTCCTCGATATCATTATTACCAGCCCGGACGTTATTGTGTTAGCTTGACGAATCTCTTTGTCTGGTTGTATCTGCGAGGAGATAAAGCCTCATCACATTTCCTTCTCATGACTTCTGGGACCAAGAGGGATTATAGCGCAGTAAATCACTCTGATGTAATACGATCCTCAGAAGTGAAGTTATGTAGTTATGTTGGAGCTACCACTGCGGCCATTTATTTTTATTACAGGACATCTGTAGTGAGAGCATAGTGGATTCAACTTTGATGTTAACCTGAAGGAAAATTTGGTTTGCAGCCAGAAAATTGGCACGACTAGATCGCAGTGAGGCACGAATAATAACATAAGCTCAAAATATAAATGTCTGATGTCATAAACACGAACAATAAAGGACTATACTCCATCTTTACTATTAGCTACGGTCAACAACTCCAAGACCAAAACCAATTAACTGATCAAACAAACCAGAAATATCCGTGTTGCCCTAAGCTCCATACAGCCTGAATGAGCTTCTCCGTTGCCCTGGGTTACGTGTCCCTCCGTTTATAAAGAACACCGACGTTGTGGTTTATTCTGAGTCACAGCCCTGCTGCTGTACATTTTCAATGAAGAAATGTGCATTCATCAAAGGCTAAGAGTCTGCTTCATATAGGCACCAGTTTCTGAAAACCACGGTGCCAAGCTGTTTCATTTGTTCTATAAATTGAGAGTATATGTTTGTGCAAAGCCTTTAAAGAAACATGGGTTACACTTCAATTAATGCCAATATACTTCATGCTAAATAGTTGCTTATAAGAATGCCTCATAGTGTCATTAAGAGCACTTTCTAATGACTTTCTCTGCATGGATATATTCTCCAACTACGAGGTAACCACACAAGAATCACCCTCCATTGAGTACATATTCATTCTAGAGTAAGTAGGGAATTTATTGCACATGAATTCAGATACATTGTTTAGTATGTGACTTGTAATTGGCTCTAGTAGTTGTATATGTTGATGCAGAATGAGGCTGTAAATTGTGCTCTTATGAGAAACTATAAATGGGCTTGGGGATGACCAGTGAGAAGTCAGAAACGATCACCTGCCCTTAACTTTGAGAATATAAAAGAATAGTGCGGAGTAAAACAATCCTGCCATGTTGGGATCAAAGCTCACCTCTGCATCGAGTTCAATATATTTAATGAATGAAGTGCACAGAGGCAGAAATAATTGAATATTCTCATTACGAAGAGTACAAGTCCGGTCATGTGGAGTCGTCGATATGGCCTAGTGGTCTACATGTCAATAATAATAAAGTCG